TATTTTTGAATGATGGCATGAAGCCACATGACCTAGATAATTGACCCATCCCCATCATTAGTATTTCCCATGATAAAAAGTACACTCACTTAATGCCCCTTTCCCCACAGCCTGTCAAATGACTGTATCCCCCAGGATACAGAAACTGTGTAAGACATGCCACAGTATGAACAATGGTTACATAAGCTTCAAAACTAGCCACAACTAAGCCCTGAGCAAGAGGGACCATCTGCTCTTGACCAGTCAACAGACTGCAGTGTTTCTAGCTCCCCCTTTTAGTACCAGATTTGTGTGCTAGATACCCTAACAAAGGGGTGCCCAAAAGTGGGGACAATAAGGAATGGTCCCATTGGTACCATCCACAACTTTACACTGGAAATGGAAAAAATGCATACCAAACTGAACTCAACCGTACAAGATTGTTTCGTGGTAACAGGGCTATTCTGGCCTATTATAAGAGTTGGAGCTAGCCTTTGTAACACAGTAGAGCAGAAATGTATATATATATATATATATATATATATATTTTTCATTTCACTCATTCAGATTAATACATTGAATCAAATATTTGTCTGCTCCAAATGTGGGCTGTAACCTGTAGTCAGCTTTTACTATGACCGTTAAGCCTACATTGATATTTCAGAGGCGTGTGTGACTGTTCACTCATGGACCACCATGCAGTATATTTATATCCACAGCTGGATCTGCAGCCTCTTAGAGAGAATAAAAGTGAATATTGTTAATAATTCATCTTTGTATCAGTATCTAAACTGGCTCTGAGAACATGTATATGGATGCAGAGAGTACAGTTTGACTATCATCCATTTTTAAAGACAAGTACCAATCACTATTTGGACTACTGGCTTACTGTACCAACATCTAGGCGCTTATCCTGCCAAATGCCTGACAGAGTTCTACAGAAAACCTAAAAATACCTGTAATTTATTTATATTCAAGTGGGTAATCAGAAAGTTTAAATGCAACTTTAAGTGCTGAGATATTTTGAGGTGGATGACTTTTATCCTTTCAGACAATCTTTCAACACACAAAAATGTACAGTTTGAGCCTCTACATGTTGTAAAAATATATTTCATACAACACTTAGAGGAACAACTGAATGCTTTGGAAAATACAAGAAGGCAGATCAAGGTCACTGTGATCTTGTCTGTCTCATTCTCATGAACACAATATCTTTTGGCCACTTTGACTCAAGAATGAACTGATTAGAATTTGGTTGTCAAATGTCAAGGTTACTGTGACCTTGCATCTATCTTTTTCTCATAAATGTGATATCTCACAAACAACTTGAGGACATTTCTTCAAATACGGCACAAATATCCGCTTTGAGTCAAGGATGAACTGATTACAATTTAGTGGTCAAAGGTCAAGGTCACCGTGACCTTGTTCATCTTACTTTGTGAATGTGGTATTTCAAGAACACTTTGAGAAAATTTTGTCAAATTTGGTACAAACGTCCACTTCGACTCAAATGTACTGATTTTAATTTGGTGGTCGAAGATCGAAGATCATAACTCAAGAATTCATAAGCTAATTGTGACATTTGGGGGTGGCTGTGGCTCAGAGGTAGAGCGGGTCGTCCACCAATCGAAAGATCAGCGGTTCGATCCCAGGCTGCATTTCGAAGTATCCTTGAGCAAGATACTGAACCCCAAATTGCTCCCGATGGCTGTTCCATCAGTGTGTGAGTGTGTTAAAACTAAGTAGCAGGTGGCACCTTGTATGGTAGCCTCGGCCACCAGTGTATGAATGTGTGTGTGTCAATGGGTGAACGTAACTCATAGTGTAAAAAACGCTTTGAGTGGTCACTAGATGGGGCGGCACGGTGGTGTGGTGGTTAGCACTCTCGCCTCGCAGCAACAGGGTTGCCGGTTCGATCCCGGGTGTGGGAGCCCTTCTGTGCGGAGTTTGCATGTTCTCCCCGTGTCAGTGTGGGTTCTCTCCGGGCACTCCGGCTTTCTCCCACAGTCCATGCAGACTGGGGACTAAATTGTCCATAGGTGTGAATGTGAGTGTGAATGGTTGTTTGTCAGCCCTGCGATAGTCTGGTGACCTGTCCAGGGTGTACCCTGCCTTTCGCCCGATGTCAGCTGGGATAGGCTCCAGCCCCCCCGCGACCCTCAAGAGGATGAAGCGGTTAGAAGATGAATGAATGAATGGTCACTAGATGACTAGAAAGGCGCTATACAAATGCAGGACCATTTACCATTACAATTTTTGTCAAAATGGTTAAAAGGACAAAATGAAGTGATTACATTTTATATCCAAAAGGTCAAAAGTCAAGTTCATTGTGATATCATAACGTAATGTTATTCTAGTTTTTCATCTAGACATCTAGACATTTTCCAAATGCTGAATTATGCCTTTTAAATGGAAAGTTCACCCCAAATCTAAAGTACTTATGTTGTTTCTTTTATCTGTAGTTCTATTTATCAGTCTGGATTGTTTTGATGTGAGTTGCTGAGTGATGGACATGTTGGCTGTAGAGATGTCTGCCCTCTGAGCCAAATTGTGATTTGTGATATTGGGCTTCATAAGTAAAGTTGAATTGAATTGAAATTGAATTCTCTCTAATATAATGTAACTAGATGACAGTTAACTTGTGGTGCTCAGATCTTGGTGTGAGCAGGATCATGTAGGAACTATTGTCTTTCTACCATACTACACCCACCAACCATATCACTGTGCAGGAGGAAGCACTCATCTACTGCTAGCTCACCCAGCACCACTACATAGCTAGCTAGCATTACAGTTCAGCCAAGGATGACACAAAAAATGTGTACATCTCATGCTATGATGAGCACAATTTCTTCTGTGTGGTGATACAGTTGGCAGGTGTATGTTGGTAGAAACTAGGGCTGCAACGATTAGTCGACTAATCAATGACTAATCGACTATTAAAATAATCGGTGACTATTTTAGTAGTTGAGTAATCGGTACCCCAAAATACTCTTATTGCAGCTTCTCATGTTCAAATATTGGCAGCTTTACAAACTCTCCCATGACGGTGAACTAAAACCCTTTGGCGTGAGTACGAAACAAGACATTAGATGACATAATTTTGGGGTTTGGGAGAGACAGACCAGCATTTTTCAACATTTTAACACATTTTTTGATAAAATGATTAGTCGACTAATTGAAGAAATAATCGACAGATTAGTCAACAATGAAAATAATCGTTAGTTGCAGCCCTAGTAGAAACAATATAGTACCTGCGTGAGACTGCTCACAACAAGGTCTGTGGATTATCTCGAGTAACCTGGTTGTCATTTCTGTAAAAAGACATTGCTGTTGAGTTTTTCAAATGTATTTTTGGTGCTTTGAGCAGCACAGGAGGCAAATTATATATTTTTGAGTTTTGGATGAGCTGTAACTTTAATGTGTGGCTCGTGTACATTTTGCAGTTCTTGAAATTTGTTCCCTTTATTCAGCAATGATAGAATGCTAATGGCTGTCACCATTCATGAATACAGATGAGACATTTTAAAGCAGATGGAAAAGGTGAGATTTTGATACCTTAGTGTTTAAGAACTTCACGTCAGTGACATGTTTGATTATTCACTGTAACTAGTCCATACCTACTGAGTGCACAGTTGCCCACGTATAGTTTCACATGGTGTGTGTTTGGGATACAGGTCATAGGAAATTGCAGATTAAATAGTCAACTGAACCCATTAAGAAGAGCAATGTATTCAGAGTTTTTGTGAATTTGATAGTACGACTGCTTTATTCAAAGTACAGTAGTACCATTGCCAATAGTGGGATAGTTAGTGGGCTAAAAGTGTACATTAATAGTTGAGGTAGCACGTTGAAAGGCAGATAGTTAAAGTGTTTATATGTTGTATTGACTTAAAAGTGGGGCGCACTGGTAGTTCACATGGGAAACATAGATTGACCACGTCAGTGAGTAGAAAAACATGGGACAGACAGAATGACACACTGACAGTTTCCGCAATTATGTACTTTTTAAGCATTTTTCTGTTGTTATAGTGCCACCCAGTTGCCAATTAGAGCTAAATTTTTCCAGTCACCTTGTTCTACGTATCTACCAAGTTTAGTAAAAATCCATATGGCGGTTAGGCCTAGGTAGGAAATTAGCTCTCTAGCACCCCCATTTTGTTTGATCGGGTCAATAATGAAGGGGTCCCCTCAGATTATGTGTGGTCATATGCCTACAAAGTTGCGTGGTAATCGGTGAAACTCTTGAGATGTTATACACCTTTATGTGATGAGCCACGCCCTCCTCAATATTCATTGCCTTATAGAAGCTCAGTTTTACCAAGTTTTCCAACTTTTGCCAAGAGGGAACTTTAGATATTGGTCCCTAGATTATGTTCACTGAGTTTCATGCAGATCGGTCAAACTTAATAGGAAGAAATAGATTTAAAATGTTTTTCAAAAAATTCAAAATGGAGGAAAATCTATATAACCGGAAGTTATGGGTTCTTGAGGCAAATGTGTTCCTCATGAGGAGAGGCGTCTCTGTGCAAAGTTTCACATGATACGATACGATACAATACGATACGATACGATACACAGGGGATGAGATATGCCCATTCAAAGTTTGCAATTTCAGTCGGTTGCTATAGCGCCCCCCTTTGGCCAATTGATGTAATATTGCTTCCATTACCCTCTACCACTGTGCCGAATTTCACATGGATTGACCAAGTCAGTGAGGAGAAAAACGTGGAACAGACACACAGACACACCCACACACCCACAGAGTTTTCGTCATTATATAGTAAGAGCTGCTTTGCATCAAAAATGGACCCAAATAATGTGTGTGAGAGAAAAGGTGCATTCACCAGTGCTGTCTAAAACTCTTATCCACATTTCACACTGTGATGACAACAGTTCACTGTGTTTATATTTCACACAGTTACCTACTGCTGCCAATGTGGCAGAGTGCCTGGTATTGTGAAGTAGTATTCAACATAACTGAGTAACTCTGTCTTCTCCCCTCCCTCTTCTCTTTCTAACAGTGCGGCTCCATGACAGCATATCAGAGGAAGGATTCCACTATCTGGTCTTTGACCTGTAAGTTCAGGATTTGTGTCTTGCATATCACATTTACTCACATTTTAGACACCAAGAGGACACTCCACATGGTTGAACATGTGCCTAACACTCAGGAGCACACATTCAGTGCTCAGGAGCACACATTCAGTGCTCAGGAGAAGTCCTGTCACTGAGGGACCATGGGAGATAAGACACACAGTGCAGGATGTAGGATCATATACACACCAGTCACCTTCAAATAATAACTAAGATAGACAGCAGGTTGGTAACTTTTTTCACTATTCAGTATTTTTATATGCTTCTATGTGGGCGATAGCTGTGACCGGAAGCATTATGTTTTCAGATGGTCCGTCCATGCATCCCATTCTCACCAACAAGGTATCTCAACAAAGCTTTTTTCATTCATTCAAGAATTCAAGAATTCAAGAATTTCATTCAATTTTGGCACAAGCGTCCACTTAAACCTTAGGATGAACAATCAGATTTTAGTGGTTAAATGTAAAGTCACTGTGACCTTGGGTCTGTCTCATTCTAATGAACATGATAATGAACGACTCGAGAATTTCTTCAGATTTGGCACAGATATCTACTTGGTCACTTGAGAACTGATCAGATTTTGGTCACTAAGACCTTTCGTCTGTCTCATTCTTAATTTTATTTTAATTTAATTAGAAGCTGAAGGTGAAGGTGATGGACTGGCCAAGTATGTATCCAGCCCTAAACTCACCTGTGCACCTGTGGAGCATCCTCAAGCTGAAGGTGGAGGAGCGCAAGGTGTCTTCACATCCATCTGCTCCATGATGTCATCATTGGAGGAGTGGGAGAGGATTCCTGAAGCAACCTGTGAGCTCTGGTGAATTCCATGCCCAAAAGGGTTAAGGCAGTGCTAGATAATAATGGTTGGAACACAAAATATTGACACTTTAGGCACAATTTGGACATGTTCACTGTTGGGTGGACTCACTCATGATACCAGCTCTTTAGATGTTGATGGATGTCTTTTGAGTAATTTTCAGAGGAAGGTAAATCTATACTACTATACAAGCTGTACACTGACTACTTTAACTTATATCCAAGTGTCATTTCTATAGTGTTGTCCCATGAAAAGATATAATGAAATATTTGCAAAAATGGGAGGGGTGTACTCACTTATGTGAGATACTGTACTTTATTAATCCCCTTGAGGGGAAATTCAATTGTTTCACTCTTTTGTCATGAACACACAGGTCTGAAAGACACACATGCACAAACAGGACCTATAGGGGCTGCCTTGGTCAGGCACCGCGAGGGGGGCTATGGGCTGAAATATATGCCACCAGAAACTGAATTTGAATCATTTATATTTGAATTTGAATTTCTAAACTTGAATAATTGCATTGAAAAACTGAATTTGAATGCTATAATTTGAAATTGAATCATTTATATTTGAATTAGAATTTCTGAACTTGAATCATTGCATTGAAAAACTGAATCGGAATAGTATAATTTGAAATTGAATTTATTTATATATATCTTCACATTCAGTTCTCACAATTCAAATTCAGTTCTCAAACTTCAATTTCAATTTACTGTGACAGACATCTGGGTAGTTTAAGGATGAAGGAAGAGCAATCGAGCGCAGATACACAGGAGTCCTCTTCGGCCAATCAGCACCTACGTTTTTGAGCACGTAGGAAGAAGCGCTTGCCTTGATCCATAGACCATAGACAATAGGCTAGTTCAAGATGAGCTGCGCCTCGCCTGAAAAGTAGACAAGAGCAGGCGGCTGCAGCGGGGGGCGGTGACAAAAAGCTGCGGTGAAGTCGGATAGTTTCCTGACAGTTTCCAGCAGCCTTCAGTCTGTACAGGAAGTCACAGACACACACATATCCTGTCTGGAATGATGTCAATTCATTAAAAAAGTGATCAGACCCATATAGGCTATCAGTTTGTTTTCAGTCTCCAGTTGTTTTAATTATGATAGATTAATTTATTAAAATGCTTTACAGGTGATCTGTAGTTTATGTTCATGGTTTATCCTCCATTTGATATGAATTCTCCTGTAAATCAGCATCATATCAGTTTGACCTGTCCCCTCAACTACACAGGCTGAATAAACTGTGTTTGACTATAAGGTTAATATTTTCAGAGGAAAAAAAATAGAAGACAACAGCTTTCATTAAGGCTCAGTCAGATACAGTCAGTGTTATGATTTGTTCAAAGCCTGGACCCAAATGCATGACTCAGATAGCAGATAAACAGTGAATAACAAGTCTTTAATGTTCAATGTGCTGGCAAGTGCAAGGGGGAGGGGTGGTGCGTAGTCCCAGGATCCAGACGTGGCTCGTGTAGTCACCAATGAGCGGAAGAGTGAGAGTGTCTTTGATGTGGCGTCTGCCACGTGGTAATGGCGGTGCTGCAGCACGGCGCAGTGGTGTCCGTCTCTCGAGCGTACACACTCTGAAGGGAAACAGGAGAGCAGGCAATGGGCAGGCCGGTCCACAGGCAGGCAGGGAAGAACACACGAGATCACGAGGCAAGCACGGCAATCTGAGTTGAGGTGAAAGGAACACAGAGGCATTAGCTACACAAGCTAATAATAAGGCACAATGGCAAAAAACACGGAGGAGCCAGGATGCAACCTACCACGTAGACTGATGAAACGATCTGGCGACGAATAGGAGGGAATCCAGAGGCTTTATGGAGAGGTTGATTACTGGAGTGGATTCACCTGGCGCTGCCTGTGGAAGGAGACCACGCCCACATGCACACACACACACAGAACAGACAGGGGGAGAGACACAGGAGGAATAATACAGACTGGGAATGACAACACACACATAAGGGAGAAGGAAGGGCTGCCATGATGAGGATCATGACAGTCAGGGCTTCACATCTGATGTTATTTTAAGAATCCTCACATCCCACTGACCGCATTAACGTAAATTTCTTTGTTGAAAGGCGCTTTATGAAATTAAGTCCATTTACTTGTATTAGTTTACAGCGCAGCCTTGCCACATCCAATATGGCGGCGACGTTGATGTATCGCAGCAGCGGGCAAACCCACTCGATGCGGCATCTACGTATATATAGGTTCGTTCGAGATGAGCCAGACCTGCGCAGATTCGATCACTGGCAGTCGGCGCACAATGCATGCGTCCGACTTCATCCCAACTTGCTCTGATGTATTACAAAAGTGGACGGCGATAAAACCGCGAGAGCGAGGCGGCTGCAGTTTTTAGAGCAAGGCGCTGCAGTTGCTCTCCACCGACTGCACCGCCTGGCTCTCACCTGATCTAACAGCTGATTGGTTAAGGTGTCGACTCAACAATATGACGCATACATTCATCATAAACTATACAGAGTCTACTGTAGTATATTAATATTGGACGGTTTAATTATTGAAGTATTTAGCAACACAGAGACTTGTGGTCAGTGGGATGTGAGGATTCTTAAAATAACATCAGATGTGAAGCCCTGACTGTATCTGACTGAGCCTTAATGAAAGCTGTTGTCTTGTATTTTTTTCCTCTGAAAATATTAACCTTATAGTCAAACACAGTTTATTCAGCCTGTGTAGTTGAGGGGACAGGTCAAACTGATATGATGCTGATTTACAGGAGAATTCATATCAAATGGAGGATAAACCATGAACATAAATTACATATCACCTGTAAAGCATTTTAATAAATTAATCTATCATAATTAAAACAACTGGAGACTGAAAACAAACTGATAGCCTATATGGGTCTGATCACTTTTTTAATGAATTGACATCATTCCATACAGGATACGTGTGTGTCTGTGACTTCCTGTACAGACTGAAGGCTGCTGGAAACTGTTGGGAAACTGTCCGACATCACCGCAGCTTTTTGTCACCGCCCCCCGCTGCAGCTGCCTGCTCTTGTCTACTTTTCAGGCGAGGCGCAGCTCATCTCAAACAAGCCTATTGTCTATGGTCTATGGATCAAGGCAAGCGATTCTTCCTACGTGCTCAAAAACGTAGGTGCTGATTGGCCGAAGAGGACTCCTGTGTATCTGCGCTCAATTGCTCTTCCTTCATCCTTAATCTACCCGGATGTCTGTCACAGTAAATTGAAATTGAAGTTTGAGAACTGAATTTGAATTGTGAGAACTGAATGTGAAGATATATAGAAATAAATTCAATTTCAAATTATGCTATTCAGATTCACTTTTCCCATGCAATGATTCAAATTAAACAGTACAATTTCAAATTATGTGATTCAGATTCAGTTTTTCAATGCAATTATTCAAGTTTAGAAATTCAAATTCAAATATAAATGATTGAAATTCAGTTTCTGGTGGCACATATTTCAGCCCATAGGGGCGCCTTTTGGGGGGTTTGGTGCCTTGCTCAAGGAGGTGACGCTCCATATTTGGTCCGGACGGGGACTACTTTAACAGGCAACCCTCCGGTTCCCAACCCAAGTCCCTGTGGACTGAGCTACTGCCACCCCACAGTGAAGGCAGCATCTCAGAAACAACTTTCTTCAGATCTGTCAAAAATGTCCATGTAGGCCCAGACATGAGTTGATCAAACTTTGGTTTGCAAAGGTCAAGGTCACTGTGACCTTGAGTCCATCTCATTCTTGTAAATGCGATATCAAGGCCTTAAGGGGATTTCTTCTAATTTTCCACAAATGTCCATTTGGTCTGAAGAATGACATGAGTAAAACTTGGTGCTGAAAGGTCAAGGTCACTGTGACCTTACAAATCATGTTTTTGTACATGATTTAATAATTTGTATGCTAATTTTGATGAAATTTCACATAGATACAGAATAAAATAATGAAGTGATGGAACTCTGTATGAAAAGGTCAAAGGTCAACTTTGTGGCGACATCATAATGTTCTGCAAAAGCACTTTTCCAGCCATTATTCAGGTACAGAAGGGGAGATCGATACTTACTTGGTGTCAGTAATCTAGGGTGCCAATCTTGAAACTCTGCTGATTGTATAGCTCTTCTGTGCTGTCAGATTGAAGATGTAGCCTTCACATTTAAGAGCATGTAGCCTCTT